GAAGATTCTTGATTCTCCCGTACCAAAAATTTTCAGTAACCTTAAATACCTGCTAATTCTTATTAGCAGGTATTTGGAAGGTTGGGTGGAAATCAAAGAAGGATATGATAGCTGGTTCTTGTTTTTAAGAGTTTTAACTACTATTAACACGGTCTTGATGTGTTTTGACCCACGACTTCTGATCCTACGTGGTGTACAGTAGGTTAAATAGTTATAGCTCCAAACCTATTACTTTTATTTTATTTACACTACTTGTATACAATGGCGGACTTAATGCCTAGTGGCATTCTCTAACAGTCAACCTTAGGGTGATGCAGAGAGACACAATAGTACCTATACTATTACTTATGTTAATGTTCTCTATTGAACATGATAAGTCTGTTATCGTTCTATTAAAAATTCAACAGACATTTTTATCAGGTGTTGTTGTTATGATAGTACTCAGATTTCAGAAAACGTGATGTGGTACGTGCTATGTCGCATGACACGCAGAGAACGTTTTATAATTTTATAAGGAAACTTCTTTAATAAAATTGAGCCTTTTTTGAGGGGGTAAAATCATCCAATGACTCCTCCCGCTTGGGTGAGGCGAGAGTGAGTGTCAGACTCTTATTGACTAAAAACCACCCCGTTCCTACTCCTGCACTTCGATCCGGAGCCCTGGCAACCCTTTAAGTCTTCCGTTCTATTGGGCCCCATCTGTGGTGGTCTGATGGCTCCTTGAAGCCGACGCGCCGTACGCTCGGGTCTGGTTCGCCCGCAGGCCCGTGCTAACGGTGGCCGGAGATCGTCTCGTTCCCCGACGCCCGGAGTGAATCAAATTGAGCCTAATAAAATGAAAACTTGAAATAAGACTTGATAATATACAAATGCAAGTAGTAGATACAGGGTAAAGTTTTACAGATATTCTTTACAGGTAATAATGCTTGCTATAAAATTAAGTAGATAGTTTTTATATGGGACTTCTATCAAAAATGGCAACCAGTGGGTGGTTACCACCAACTCCTGTAGGTCTCCTAGCTCTACGGAACATACTCTGTCAAGCGTCTACAGTGCCCGCTTAATTTTTTGAAGAATAAAAGGAGGTATGTTCATACTACTTTAACATCATGGTTATAATCCTTTAAAGATGAATTTCATTCATGAGTGCGTTTTATTCATCTTATTTGACGGAAGGTAACATTTTACAAATTTGTTAGACAGGTACCAAGCAAAAACTATGCATGTTAACACGTGCATGTGTGATTATACCCCTCACGACAGGCAGGTACCGAGACAGACGTATTCAATTTATTCGATTTCTAAATAATCGAGTTCATCCTGAAATACCTCTAGAAAGGTTTTATTCCTACCCACACATTGTTGAAATGGTTAAAAAAAATAATGGTGAGATACAGGTAAAAATTATAGTCGAATGAATGTTTTTTTTTTACCTCTAACAATTTATATCTCTACCGCGTTATTTTTGGATTCCGCATCCGAAACTTGATCGATGGTACGCTATCGAAAACCCTTGGATTGATCGATTTTTGACATTTAAGTATTTCTTTTATTAGAATAATAATAGAATAATTATAGAATTTTATAGAATTGAGAAATATTTTTATTAATGTATGTTATTAATTTGTGTTGCACAATTATGAGGATCGATGACTTTTGTGACTGTTAGGCAGGTACCTAAGCAGTTTGCAGAGGACACTGCTACGCATTATGCATTTTTCAGAAGTTGCTGATGTTGACAGGAACTTTACATAGGTCTACATAATCGCTGGAATGCACCGATATGAGACACAATAGAAAATAGTACATTGAGTCTCGCGTGGATCCTCGTTTAGACACACGACGGGTTAATACGTAATGCTTATTATTAAAATATTCATTTCTTTGGACATAAAGTAAAACAAAAAAAAGTTGAAACATTTCGTGGATATTTCCGTCTCTCTAAAAGTAATAGTGATACGGAACCTCTCACTTTACTAACTTGCCTCGTACTAAAAGGGGTTAATATGACCTACTATTAATCCGTAACTTTTTTCTACGTCCTCTTGATCCCGGAGTCGAGCAAAAGGCGTATACCAAAGATTATCGAAAGTACGTCTATCCCCCAAATCCTTGAGTTTGAACAATGTTATAGTTTCTTGTATTAACAAAAAACTGTGTTAGCAACATTATTATTTAATAAGAACTGCTATTTATTATTCTTATCATCATTCTTATCAGTCGCAATATCCTTGGAGTTCGCGAAATCATTTTACATATCACATTGTTACGACTGCAGAATAAGGTACCCTAATATCAAACGTTGTTAAGTGATTTTCAACTCTGTTACTTTAGTTATAGAATTGGAAGTCTATTAAAGATTTTCGACAGAATGGAGGAGCTTGGTATGCTGGTGTTTGTACATGAAAGACATAATATTATAATATTTTCATTGCGATAAAGTTTATCGAGTTAGAAATAGAATTAGAAAAAAAGGTTGAAACAATTTGCTTTGAAACGTTTGTAGGACATAGGTACCTATGTACGTCTGACTTTGGTTTTGTACTGTATCATCTATCTATATAAATAAAAATGAATTTCCGTTCGTTAGTCTCGCTAAAACTCGAGAACGGCTGAACCGATTTGGCTAATTTTGGTCTTGATAGGTTCGTGGAAGTCTAGGGAAGGTTTAAAAGGTGAGAAAAAACTTTTAGGCGGTACGAAGTTTGCTGGGTCAGCTAGTCAACTATTATACTAGTCTATGTTTGTCAGTCAACGTGTTTGACTTGGTTTTGTACTGCAGCATCAACTGGACTAATGTTAGTTTAAATTTGATTACGTATTTCGAACCCACCCCCAACATTCTGAACTCAAAAACCTGTGCCCACCCTATCGGGGATAAAAGGCGTTGTGTTATGTTACGTGTTAAATGTAATAATTAGCCCAAATAAACTAATATAGTAAGCATTAGAGGATGCCTATTAAACTATCTACTAAAGTAACAGAAATCGTGGCCCAAATATACATAAAGGTCATTACCAACATAGGCATTACCTAATGACCTATATTCTCATACAATCTGCCGGGACCAGCGCGATATTACCACGTGGCGTTTTGAGGTTATATTGACCTTCGCAACGTAAAAATAAAACAACTGAACGTATACAGTCGCAGGCAAGCCAACCTACTCTTTTCTGTCTTTCTTTACTCGATTTTCAACTCTATCATTCATAGATTTAGAGTCGAAAATCCAATGACAAAAATTGATACGTTCGAGTAGGTTAATGTGCTGGCCGCTACCATTATGTAGGTACCTATGTTAATAGAGAGTATTCTTTGAATTAAGTTTTGCAAGGAAGTTGTATCTATATGCACTTATACTTTAGATCTAGTTACATAAATATAAGTAGATGCAACACCTGTTAGATGTAATACAGACTGTACACCCGGCTACACATCGAGCTTTACATAACCAGTATAAACTGAACGTTAAATGTGCGGAAAGGTGATGCGACGCGACACCAGGATAAACTGGTTTTGTATAGATTGATGTGTGGCCGTTGGACTATGGGTCGATCGACACTCGTGATCTCTTCTATTTATGAGGACTTTCATTATTCTGAGGCGTTGGACATCATTGTACAAAAGATACAGGTACCTACCTAGTCCTTTTACGACTCCTAGTCCTAGGTACACACTAGGAAGACACGAGTGTGTGATGGTCTATTCCATAGGTACTATAATCACAGTCTATATTTTTATACTGTGCTATAATTTTACTTGGTACCGAACAATGAATAACATCTATGGGTATTTTTAATAAATGCTAATAAGTAGGAATTTACACATCTCACACTGAGATAACACATCTCAGTTAATTTAGCTTAGATTACAATGACAAAATAAACATCAGTAGGTATGGTTACCTAGAACTGAGAACATTTTTGGTTGGTAAGTTCGTAGTAACCTTTGCTAACGTCGCGGAGAACCTAACGGGTTACCGGGGCTCGAAGTGCAGGAGTAGGAACGGGGTGGTTTTTAGTCAGCAAGAGTCTGACACTCCCTCCCGCCTCACCCAGGTGGGGGCAGTCATTCGATAATTCTCCCCCCTTAAAAAAAATAAAGAAAGCCCTTGCTAACAGTGAATAGTATAGAGGTAAACAAATAAATTGAACATTCGAAGTAAACTCATTACTGTGAATCAATTGAAGATTAACCGAGAGAAATCGAGTCGTGGGAACATCGATTAAATATCTCGGCATTTCGAAACAATTTAGGTACGCAAGAATTCAGAAATCGATTCCTTATGAGAAATATAGTGCTAAGGTAAATTGAATTTGATAAATTCAATTTTGTCTATTGTTTACAAATCTATCACCTACCTATGCCCCTTTTCCCCAGTTACAAATCAATGCTTCATACATTTATGCTTGCTTGGCAAAAGTTTTTGCGATTGAGGCAGTTGACAATAAATAAGCATAACAATAAGGTCTCCTTTTTCATGATTTGTTATTGTATAGTACCATTCAGCTTTTATTTACTAAAATCTAAACTTGAAATCGAATACTTAACAGAAACCACAAGACACTGAATTACAAAATTGATTAACTATATTAATAGCAAGTGATAATTCATTTATTTATCTGTTTTGTGCGCTACCCGCTGTCTGCTTTCCGATATAACGCGCCAGCACCAGCCGGGGCACTTGTTTCCATTTAATGATATTACTCACGCGCTACTCACATTCTCGTCGACTATACATTTACCGGTTTGAATCCACACGTCAAGTCATTAGAGCCTAATTGAAAGTATGTATTTATTTTAAGCTTTAAACTAGCTCGCATAGAGTCGTTTATAACTGTGAGTAGCGGTTGTCTCTTTTTGTTTTCGTGTACAAGCCTCGCTGGCGCGTCGCGTACCGATAAACACGTTTCACCGAGCGTCGCGTCGCTTGCTGTCTCTTTCGTTCTCGTGACTCGGCATACTGGATCGTTTCAAGTTGTCAGTGAGTAGTGCGCCTGCGCCACGTGCTATTCTCTTGCTATTCCTGTGTAGCGTCATTTCGCTTCGTGTTTGTGCTATTTATTGATTGTGAAGTGTTATTTGGAACAACTTCTGCTAATATACATAATACAGTTGTGTGGTATTGTGTGTGACTGTAACATCTTAACAATGAGTTTAGTAAATATATCAAACCCACTTTGGAATTACTACGTAAAGTTACCATATGTAAGAGTTGCCAACTGCAAACTTTGTAAATGTGATTACTCATACAAAACATCTATAACGAATTTGAAAGCCCATTTACGAATGAAACACAAAACTGAATATAATTCTTACCTAGCTGAAGTAGAAAAAAGGAAACGTCGCCTCACATTGAAAATGTATAGAGGAGAAGAAGATGATGATGAGGAGGATGATGAGGAGCAGTTAATTGAGTTACCTACAGGTGACAATAAAACATGTCGCATCTCACTGATTGAGATAAAAAGAGAAGATGATCTAGATAACCATTCACCTGAGCCATGTATCGAAGCCTCAACTTCAGAACAACAGGCAGAACTTGCAAACCCAACTCCTCGAATTAAATATGTTTTTACAAACGTTCTTGATCAAAAACAGAAACTAATTAACGGGAAACTCTTAAAGATGATCTTGAAGACATATCAACCTCTTTCAATCGTCGAGGATCATGATTTTGTGGAATTTGTAGAAGCTTTGAACGGCGAATACAAAATACCTTCACGTTTAGTGATAGCCGAAAAAGTCATACCTGCACTTTACGACAAGTGTTTGAATAATCAAAAAATATTAATGCATGAAGCTGAGTCTGTGTGTTTGACAAGTGAACTCTGGACCTCTACTAGTAATGACACATTTATGTGCATCTCTGGACACTACATAAATAAGGACTTCCAGTTCAAGTCTATAGTACTGAAATGTTGGCATCTAAGCAGCACGTATTCTAGTATAGACCTTGCAACTATTTTCAGATTCACTTGTCTAGACTGGGGCATTTTTGATAAAATAAATATGTGTGTCACAGACAATAACAGAGATGTAATGGAAGCAGTTACTTCATTAGGTTGGGATCACTGTTCTTGTATAGCCCAAAAATTAAACAATATTCTCCAGAACTTTACCAATATTTATGAGACCACATTAAAAAAATTCAACACTATTGCATACCGTTACCAATTGTGTAACAAAGATGAAAAAGCATTGGGAAGTTCCCAAATGAGAGTCAGCGATAACGAAGTACCTCTGGAGTTTCTAAAATCCATGCCAACGATGTGGAATTCTATCTATCTCATGATAGAAAGGTTTATAAATCTAAAGAACGAAATAAAGGAAATTGACAAAAACATCATCACAGATTTACCAGACATCACTGATGATGAATGGACCTCACTCAACCAATTATATTTAATGCTGAAACCTTTCTACGAAGCAATTACCGAGCTCATCTCTGAAAAGTACATTTACGCTTCAAAAGGAATTGCTATCATTAATGGACTGAAGGATGTGATGAAGGAACTAGAGAAGAAGCCTCGATATCATAACTTCTTAGAAAATATTTTAAAACCATTCAGTACCAAACTGTATGAAGATTTTTCGAGCAAAGAGTATGAGGCCAAATTGGCAATTTGTACTATTCTAGATCCGAGATACAAAACAGAGATGTTCATTGATGAAGTAGTGGTTGACACAGTTGAGACTGCGAAATCAAACTTGGTAGTAGCGGTACAACAGATGATAAAAAATGAATGTCAAAATGAAACGAATAGTGATCCAGGTGATCAGAGCACGATGGAGGACGACGACGCGGACGGTGAAATAAATTTGTGGCGGAGACGAAGTTTGTCCATACGAAATAGAAAGAAGTGTTCCGATTTTAATCAATTAGTGTTGGCTCAACAAGAAGTGTCTACCTACCTTCAGGGTGAGCTTGCAGAGAGCAGCTGTGATCCATGTGATTGGTGGCAGACGAACCAGCTGAAATATCCTCATTTGGCAAAGATTTTCAAAATGAAGTGCAACATTGTAGCCAATTCAGTACCAAGCGAGCTTATATTTACAAAGAATGGTGTTGCACTGAGAGACAGGAGGGCGAGGCTTCCTCTTGAGGAAACAGAACAATTTGTGGTTTTAAATGCTAATCTATCAGAAACTGACTATGAAGACTTTGTGCCTCGGATTCAAGGAAAGCTATTCAATGGAAGAAATTCTACAGATCCAAGCATGATCACATCATAAGAGGTATGATACACTTGATTAGAATTTTGTATTTATATGCCTTGATTTTTCTACGTATTCAAAGAATGAGCTTTTATTTTAAATAGATAAAATGATCAATAATGATCACGTATTTAAAACGCTACAGTTTTGAAACCAATATTACTGCTACAATACATATTAATTGGCAGGTAGCATATATTTCATTTCCTTTTCAATATTTTAATTATTTGAGCGAGGAAAAGCGTGCGTTTCGTTGCGTAGCATAGCCCTGGCGTAGCGTACTATATATTATAGCGTAGCAAGGTGCTTTTTTATTATTTCGACTTTTAAGCAGGTTTGTGTAATATAGTATTTATTATACATCTTTATCTATGATATATTTTATACAACTGTGGCCTTGAACATTATCTAGTTATAATAGCAACCGGTTAATTCGTTTGTTAAATAAACGGTGCTCATATTTAAATACATTTGTGTTTTTAAAAATGTGTACAATACTATGCTATTTATTTAGAATTATGTTATTGAGGTAATAGTTATTATCTGGTCTGGTGTTCCTCAAAGATATCTACGTGTGTAGGTATGTTTAGTGTGATAGATGGTTCCCATATATTTTCATAGTTGTGCCCACAGATTTTTATACTGTGGTTGTGCCTATGTTATTGCTATATTAAACGTTTTGTGATACCTACTATTAAGACATTTGAAAAATTCGGTATCGTCACAGCTTTTAACTGCCTCGTTGGCCGAGTGATGGCAAGTGCGACTGCCGGGCAAGGGGTCTCGGGTTCGATTCCCAGGTCGGGCAAAGTATTACTGGGTTTTGAAAAATGTCAGTAGTAACACAGAGTCTGAAAATGTGCCCGGTATATGGCTATAGGCTCACCCCCTATTACATGGGACTCGTAACATAAATAGTGAAAAGTGGGTGTTACATTATACAGAGGCATTAAGTGCCGCAATGTGCACCTCTGCCTACCCTTCGGGGATAAAAAGGCGTGATGGAATGTTATGGTATCAGTTCTTTTACGAGTCCAGTAAAATTATTCGTTTCTTTGTTTCGACTCTGAAATTTTATTAATTAGTATTATCATTATCACATACCCAGCTATTAGTGTTGAGGCGATGCAATACAATACACGAAATTCACATAATAATTATATTCAGAATTCATAAATTGTTGATAGATATAAATACACGCATGCAGGTAACCTAAAAGCAGAAATAGGTACTTGTAAATTGTAATATTTCTTGCAAAGATTCTATAATCTTCGTTCTCGCTAGTTGATTTTGTATGAGATAAACATTTTGCGAATATAAATTAGTCGACATCACTATATCGACTGACTAAACTACGCACAAAACACTGCGCCCATGTGTGCGTGGAACGTACGATAACGATTGCGGGTATCTGTGTGCGCCGTCAAAGAATATGATAAACTCGTTTTTAAGATCCGTTGGATAGGTAGAAAACTTGTTTTTGTTTATGGAATTCTTTTAAAATAACGAATGGATAGTTGGGTTTTTTTATTTATTTAAATTGGGGATTACGGTATTCGATATTTTTGAGCCATAAATGAGATTCACTCATAATTAAACCACAGAGTTCCAACCTGTCCACTCAATATCGTCTCCACTTTCTTATTAGGCAGGATTTTTTGATACTAGCTACAGATATCAACTGTATCAATATGTTTTTGTAGCTGACTCATTTATTTACCCAACTTCGCTGTGTATACACAGTTGTGAAGCTTCAAGGTCAATGCGATATATAACCGCATTTACAAAGTTCCATATCTGCGTCCATAATCTATACATGTTTTGATGTGGCTCGCTCGTGTGTGACGTGTTTACAATACACAATGCGCGCGTGTGTGCGTGTAGCTAGTAAACGTATTTATTTTAGGCATCGGCTACACCCGGTTCAGTCCTCCTTGTATTTTTGAACGACCAACAGTGTCAGTGTTTTGTGAGATTATACCAAAAAGTTTTTGGAATCATGTCGGCGTCACCTATTGCAAGACAAGCCACCAACTGCCAGGCTATCCCTTCGAGGAGGGTCCTCATCACTGACCCCTCACAGATGCCCGATGTGTACTCCAGCACTCCAGGAGGCACTGTATACTCCACCACACCTGGAGGTAAATAAAAAACGAACACCTTCAAAAATTATATAAAGTTGACAAAATTAGGTAATTCGTAAATGACCTCGTTAGTAAATTGTAATCACTGATATGATAGCGTATCTCGTTTGTAACCGGCTGAATACTCATTGTGTTTGCTGATTAATTTTTTTTTATTCCCAAGCCATAGAGTTCATTAGCCTGAGAACTGACAAAAGACATTAAATGCAAGACGCATTATTATGCAGTTAGCAATAGCGTTTAAATTGCCGTGCGAAGCTTTGAAAGTATTTTCTTGCTGGCTAAGTGAGAATTTATTTGATGCTCGAGTACTTTGTGTTGGGGATTTGATACACTTATCATAAACTTATCATAAATTCAAACCATGCTCTTTGCACAAAGTAATATCGAATTTAGTGCAGTCGTTCAGGAGTTAAGTGCGCACATATACGCGTACATTTGATTATAATACATGTTTACATAGGTGGATAGTAAGTAACAGGTTTTGATTACATTTAAGCTCTGATTTCCTTCAGATGAGTGGTCAACTAAATTTAGGAGCGCCAATGAACTCATAGGCTTAAATTGTCTCAATTGTTGCATTAACCTTGAGAGGGTTTAATTGCTGTGAATATTACGATTAATTAGAACTAAAGTACTTGAAATTGTAAAGATTATGGTCATAACATTACGCTTTTACCCCCGAAGGGATATGTAGATTGTAGAGGTGTACATTGCGGCACTTAATGCCACTGTACAATGTAACACCCACTTTTCACTATTTCTGTTATGAGTTCCATGTAATAGGGGGTGAGCCGCCGTGAGCCTATTGCCATATACCGGCATAATTCCAGACACCGTGTTACTACTGAGAATTTTTAAAAACCCAGCAATACTTTCCCCTTCCTGGGTATTGAACCCGAGACCCCTTGCCCGGCGCACTTACGATCACTCGGCTAACGAGTCAGTCAAAAGAGTCAGAGCTCAGGCAATTTAGGTAATAAGTTGCGGAGAACCTAACGGGTTCCCGAGGCTTCGGCCCGACGTGCAGGAGAAGGAACGGGGTGGTTTTAGTCAGTAAGAGTCTGACACTCCCTCCCGTCTCACCCAGACGGGAGCACTCATTCGATGATTTTCCCCCCTTAAAAAAAGTACAAAAAAAATGTCTTCTAACTTATCAATTTTCAGAAGGTTTTATTATTATTTCAGTAGTCATTAATATTAATTCTCAATCTGTTTTTTTTCAACTACAAACTAAAATATAAACAGTATCTGCACGCTTCTATAACGTCCACGCAAAAAAATGCATAAAAAAAGAAACAGCTTTACATAAAAGAAAAACAAGCATAACGTACATTTACGAATTTTAAAATTTACCTAAACACTAGATAACATTATTGTCATAATAATTAAATCAAAACAAAACCGATCACAACTTACTGGCACCTAAGAACACAGAAGCTAGAAATCTGACCGAAATTATCTACTAAGAGATCATGTTTGTTTATACAAACTGTTCATTCACATCACAACAACATGAATGACGTATCTAAATAATTACTATAAACTATTTATACATCTGCCCTGCCTACCCCCTCTTAGAATAACAGGTGTAATGTTTTGATATTTCGTTTAATTACATTGGCGTCATATTAATGTTATTGTTTAAACTGTCAAACACCAAGCGGTCACCGGTGACCGCAACCTATTGTTCTATAATTGTGTCTACAAAACCGGTACTCGACGAGTTAATATAGAATATGTCTTATAGATAAATGACGGTCAAGTAATAGTTTAAAGAAATCACGTCTTGCACGTGGCAAGCTGATTAATATTATTTATAGTAATAGCTTATAGTAATCTAACTGAAGTTTTATTAATGGCAGTATATTGTCGAAATACTCAAACGTGTAGGAGAGCCATGCTTCGGAACGAATGGGCCGGTTCGACCGGAGTGATACCACCACGGCCTCACAGAAAACCAACGTGAAACAACGCTTGCGTTGTGTTTCGTCGTGTGAGTGAGGTAACCGGAGCGGAGCTGAAGGCCCAATTACCAATGAAAAAAACCTTTCTTAGCGTTGTTCTTAGTCTCCAATATTAGGTATGCACTAAATACCATAGGGTTTACATGATTTATTGTCATTACTAAAAAAATACGTGAGAAGCCAAAACACTATGTCACTCTTGCGCAGTTGTATGGACACGTACTAGGTCTACATTTTTTTTTTTTTTTTTATGGAATATATAAGCCGGTAAACGAGCAGACGGATCACCTGATGGTAAGCAATCGGCGTCGCCCATGGACACCTAGAACACCAGAGGCGTTACAAGTGCGTCACCGGCTTTTTGGGGATTAGGCGTTTGAGGATCGTTGGGGATTCAGGGATTGGGGAGATTGGGGAAGGGGAAGGTAATTGGGCCTCCGGTAAACATGCCCTGCAAACGACCATAATATAAAACGACGATCAGTTTATTGAAGCTGTTCAGACACCAATTGATATATCCGGTGCCAATAATACCAATTCATTATTTAAATATAGTTATTTATGCCATGCAAATAAGGTCGACATCGCCTTATCGATTTTTCTATGAAACTGTAAATAAACAAGCTCAAAGTTCAAGGTCGTTTTCAAATTTTCTATTCTAGATTGTGTTTTTTAGAAGTATCTGGATTTTAGCTTGATTAAAATTAAAATTGCGTATCTAATCGTGAATATGCATGCCAAATATGAATAAGAAAAACAGTCATTGTTCGGTGCTGGTACAGACGATAGCAAATCTAGGATAACTAATTTCTAATTTGTATTTAAAAAAAAACAAGATTATTATAATAAAAATAATTAACTACTTTCTGTAATTCAAAACTTAGATACTAAAATGCTGGCTGGTCGTAATAAAAAATTCAATGTAACTATGTGATTGACATTGACATTCAAGAAATTGGGTCAAAATATAGAATTTTCTTCGGTTGCCAAAGAGGAAAGAAAAAAAAATTGAATTTTCTGCTCAATCTTTTGACTAAAGTTTTTTTAAATGCCTTTTGTCTAGATTTTATTATACTATTTGCTCTAAGTTCTTGTTCTGATGCGTTAAACGAATATAAATATGTGGACTTGTCTTAAAATCTAAAATCCGGCATATAATTTTCCTAACCTAACTTTTGCACGAAAACGTGATTGGATTGCGCAAATCAGTTGCCATGTGGTGTAGTGTTGTGTTACATAAGGCACTTGGCAACCAATCACGAACGGCGACTGTTTGTTTAAGATAATAGAATAACTCTGTCCTTTATACATGCGTTTGCGCACACTCCGTGTATAATCTGTGGATTCTAGTTGATTGAATTACTGGTCTATTTGATATTAAATGAAAATTGGTAATATTTTTAATTTTTTTTAGATTTACGTAGTGGCTTAGTTAGGTTATTAGTGGTTGTCTTTCTGGTACTTTTATTTTGTATCTAAATAATGCATAGCTGGTTGTAGAGTCGTTAACGTATACATATAAAATTGACATAAGAACTATTTTTATAAACGAATTAAAGATAATGAATTAGTAAAATATTAATACAGACATAATTAGTCTGTCATCATAAACTATAATTATACCTAATACGTTTAACTATATAAGTATCATTATGTTTTTTAAATGCAAATCCGAAATTAAAATATCATAGAATATCAATATTTATTAACACATCGTATGTTTGGTCAAGGAAAAAGATAAATTGTGCCCCAAATATACTTTATCTTAGATAAAATTATTAGATCTATTTCAAAGTTCATAATATCTAATTGGTTTTTCATTCCGAAGGTTTATTAAAAATCGCTTTATAGCAAGAAGCCAAGTCTTATAAGGAAGTCCTTGGTTGCTCAAAGAAAGCGCTTCTGTGTGCTTCAAGCGGCTTAAGAGTCATTAACAACCTACGTATCTTGAAAATCATAGCGAGGTTAGAAAAGTCGAAATGAAAAAATGTTTCTGTAAAATTAATACGAACATATAAAGGTATTTAACATAACATTTTTCCTCGCCTTTTACCCCCGAAGGAGTAGGAAGAAGTGCACATTACCTATGCCACTGTACAATGTAACACCCAATTTTCCCCTATTTATGTTACGAGTCTAGAGTCACAAATCTAGACTCCGTGCTACTACTTAGAATTTTTTTAAAACCCAGCTATACTTTTCCTGATCTGGGAATCGAAGTCGAGGCCCCTTGCCCGGCAGTCGCAATTGCGACCACTCAACCAACGATGCAGTTTAATATTTAAACAAACAAATAAATACAAAGACAACGATTTAAATAACCGAAACCGGTTGAAATACTGTTAGGTTGGAATCTGAATTGGAAAAGATATTGACTCTCATTTCGATTTGAAAAAGAAATTATTTTTGATGGTTGATTTCGTTAACTGTACCTATCTAAGCTTGAATAATAATATGATGATAATTCGTTTCTAAATATATCCTAGTATCAGTTAGGCTTAATTCACTCTGTCTCCTGCAGTAATTCACCGAGGGAAGTGGACACTATCGTTATTTTTCTTCTCCTCTTATTCACTTCGTTGCGGGAACCAAGACAGTTATTCATGTCCCTGGGACGCGCCGTACTTCAGTGTTCCGGTGTTTTCATGGTTGTATCTACTGTAGATCCTGGCTTACAGGAGTTGCAGCGGTTTTGGGAGGTTGTGGCGGGCTTGTCCCAATAAAAAAGCCTAGTATCAGTAGTGACTGAAGTGTTTTAAGTAGTAAGTTTCAACCCAATTAAGTTTTGTAATTCTATAACTCTTCAATTTTCGTCAGTGGAATTTGACGTAGAACATTGTTTATCATATTTTAAATCTCTTTCTAGTAATTTCTACACCATAATTGCTCTTGTTACCTTCCTCAAAGTCCAATCTTCTGCAAAAAGATTATGAACGCGGTCGCCGCAGGAATATCATACTCTGTTATTTTCGTTGCCACACGGAAGTAGCTAGCATTAAAACTCGTATATACAACAAAACTATGCCAGACTTCTTAGCGAATTCAAGAAACATTATATAATCACGAGACATAATAGATTATGTTTGAACTTTACTGTTTATGAATAGAATGAATGGAATTTGCATGAAATACATTACGGTTGGCAGGCGGCCGCCATTGTTCAGTGAGGAACCTATATTTTGGAATAGGTATTGAATATTACAATGTAGCATAATTGTGGTGTTAGGTAATATGTTTATTTTGATAGTTTAATGAAAAGACGAGCCTAATAACTTTTCAGATTTGATTAAGAATTTGTTATAGAAATTCTCACTGTATGCTTCATGATGTTTCAAGTTCAACTGTTAACAAAATCTATTTTATTTTTCCAGGTACAAGGATAGTGTACGAGAGGTCATTCATGATGTCGCTACGGCAATCACCGATCTCGCAAACCCCACCTAAGTGCCCATTACCGGCCGCTCTCTTGAAGAACCCCAACTCCGTCCCGAATGTCATACAACCGACTGCAGCGCAGAAAGCGCGGTCCAACTCAATCTCATTCGACGAGTCGCAGGAAACATTCAGTATGGATCTCTAATAGGTTAATTAAGCTTCAAAGTCATTACAAAAAACTTATGCTTATTGTACAATTTCATGATATACTTAGTAAGTTCTAAAACGAATGTGTGCGCTTACTTTATATCTTCCGTACAGCTTAAGTATCAGTTTTCTTAAACTTTGGACAAGGAAATTAAATTAGCAAATAGATATTTTAATGTTCCATGCCCTTAGTATTTAATTTTAAGTTAATTTTAGTTCTTCAAAGCGTGACTGAACATTTAGTAGCGTTCTAAACGCGGTCCTTTGCCACGCCCGCCAAAAATCCAATAAAAAAATATAAAACCATACAGATTAAAAATAATTAAAAAATATGATTCAATTTTTAATGGAATGGATGCGTTCGAATGAAACCAAAAATGTACCTATTTATTGTTATAAAAATGTGGCAAAAGATAATTTGTAAATAATTAATTGTTAGTTTTATGCGTGTAACGCACACAGTAGGTGCTTAGTATTTTTATATTAAAAAGCAAGTGCCATTGTATGGAAGTTAATTCGTGTGACATAATTTACTTCCGCGTGGTGATGCTGACATTGTTATGAAATCTCAGATGTTCAAATGTTGTCTGGGTTTGCGATATTAATTTGTGTTTAAGAATAATCAAAATCGGTCACAGATTGTAAATCTTATAAGTGAAATTGTATTATTACGGTAGGAATCTGAAAATTTAGGAATTAAAGTTTCTATTGTTGTAAATGGACCTATGGAAGTTGTTTGGAGTACATTGTGGGATTTTGTACAGTGCTCAAAAAAGTTTCTGTACAAATGCCGCATTGTACTGTGAATGACTTATTGACTTAGCCCTAGATTAAGGATTTACTTGAATTGTTGTTCCAAAGCATTTAATGATGTCTGTAATGGTGGACGGGACGTCCATTGACTCTCTTGTTAAATGTGTGGGTGCTCCACATTGCGTGTACGCCTGCAGTATACTTAGTGTGTGTGAATTATGTTTATATTACATACGACTGCCAGTATAATAATAATTATGGAAATAAAAATGTTTAAATTTTATATTCTGAATATTTATTTTGTGTAAGAAACCCTGTAACTGTACCTAATTAAAATATTTTAAGAGATTTAAGACAGGAGAAAATGGCTTATGAGACTTTCAGAGCAAAATATGGCAAAAATATTGTTCCTTATTTCGCCATACTTAAAGAATAAGTGAACCTGCATAATATTATGAGTTTACTACTCAGTACTAATCTTGTCGTTCCAATGTCCTTGAAAACCCACCAATCACCATCAAATATAAATTAGCTTCAATACAGCCTTCATCAATATTTAATAGACAATTACAAACTATGCCCGAGGCTCACTTTAATACATATTAATGGTGTAAGATCTGTATTCGTATGTACTTATTTAAAATCAAATGTAATGTAATAACGACGATGAAACTGTGGGCAAAGATTTTCGCAAAGATAATCCAAGGTCTGAAAATAGGAACTTTTACTAGAGTGAAGTACATATTGTCGTAAGAACTGTCTATCACATCACAAAAGGACTAGTTACTGCCCAGCCCAGCATCAATCATGTAAAAAAGACTCATAGTCCAACTGGGAACTGTCATGAGCTATCGATGATGATGATAAATATAAATAAGTACTGTAGTACTGTGACACTTCTGGCGTTGCAGGTGTCCATGGGCGGCGCTGATCGCTTGCCAATCCGTCTGCTCGTTTATCTCCTACTAGCTACTTCCGCGCGGTTTCACTCGCTCTGCTCGGCGCCTATTAATCGTAGCGTAATATTTTATAGCCTATAGCCTTCCTCAATAAATGGGCTATCCAACACAGAACGAATTTTTCAAATCGGACCAGTAGTTTCGGAGATTATCGCGTTCAAACAAACAAACAAAAAACAAACTCTTCAGCTTTAATATTAGTACCTATAGATTTTATAAAAAAGTGATGTGTCTCATAGGCACATAACATCACGCCTTTTATCCCCGAAGGGGTAGGCAGAGGTGCACATTATACCACTGTACAAATGTAACACCCACTTTTCACAATTTATGCTATGAGTCCCATGTAATAGGGGGTGAGCCTATTGCTATATACCGGGCACAATTCCAGACTTCGTGCTACTACTGAGATTTTTTTTTAAAAACCCAGTAATACATATCTAATAAATCTCATAGGCACAATATACCTAAAACAAAAGTCTCCGACCAACCAAAGAATTGATTAAACGCATTTCTTACGCAATCAAAACACACTTTGATTAAGCAACGTAAATAATTCATTAGGCACATTGATTGCAAGGGTGTTGTTATCGGAATTGTCGGAGTGATTCTATAGGTAATGACCATATCGGGCCCAAGGTTTTCCATAGTTTGTCGCGTTATGAAGTTATGTCGTGTTGTGGTAGGTCGTAAAGTTGATAAGTAATGGTCTAGGTATTGGTTCGAACATTGTTATGTGAATTGTTCTTTATTTTTCTCTTTATGGGTTTTATAGATTGTCGTGGAGAACCCAACGGGTTACCGGGGCTACGGCTCGACGTGCAGGAGAAGGAACGGAGTGGTTTTTAGTCAATATGAGTCTGACACTCCCTCCCGCCTCACCCAGGCGGGAGGAGTCATTCGATGATGTTCCCCCCTTAAAAAAATTGATTTTATATTTAGTTGTTTGGTATTTTTACATTGTTAGGTACGGTATTTATTTGTCGTTATAATTACCTGACATGAATCTCAGTGACAGGATGATGTCTAGATTCTGGATACAGTCTAATTATTATAATTGCAATAGGTTCATTTTTATATAAGATCTTATAATAAACTGGCGAAAATTGTATATATGCTCTTATGCTTATACCTCGGAGCCAATGATAAAAAGTATAAACTTATAAAAATATAAACTAACTACGAGTTGATGTAGGACCTACCTACGTTGAGAATTTCACAGCTGTTCTGGCACGAGCGTCCAAAAATATTACATAAAGCAAGGTGGAAAAAAATATCCTTTAATCCGTAAAAATCTTTTGCTTAAGGTAAGCCCAGAAGATTATGTAAAATGCTGTTAATCTGTTAATTTAGAATAACAAATCATTCTTATCCTCGCAGAAAGAGATACGTACATAGTAGCGACATCTCTTATGTTTATTTCGAACTAAAATAGTTGAGTTTTCTTTGTTGACCTTGTTACATTTTTCAATATTGTTTAATTTTTTTATGTAGTTACTTGCAGATAGTGAACATAATTATAAACAAAAATAAATTATCACAGAAACACCCTCATGCAGTACGGAATAGCGGGTATATTCGTAAAACCAAAACCAGGCGTAGCGTACTACTGTATTGTATAATATTAACGTCTCCAACGAAGGTAATTATTTTAACAATTTTCAGAAGATACGATTAGGTACTTACTTAGGTAAAAGAATGTATAAATTATTATGTATGCGTAGAACGTTACTATTTTGCTACGCTGCGTTGCTACGACATACTACGAAGCGAAGAATTTTCCATCTTATAGAAATAGGCGCACAATGATGTTTTTACAAAGGAGTTACAAGTTCTAATGCAATACATAAAACGGAGACATTAAAATTTATTCTTTTTATATACTGCTATCGATAGCAACAATTCTTGCTATCCACCTAATGGTTAGCGAACTAGTGAACACATTGTTTTTCTCTAAATCATTATTTTTTAATTTACCAAAGAGTTCTCATGCAGGATACAAGGCAAAAGTCCGGCCATATTTGTTGAAAGAAACTAGAATAGCCATTTATTGATACAAAAGAATAAAAAAACGTAATTATTTTTTAAATATGGCATCTTGTGATTTTTCGTCCCCTTCAACCAGTAAGTATTTATTTTAAAGGTAAGCAAAACTTTTTTAATAAACCTTTTTTTTAATAAAAAAATCCTTTCTTTATCCTTTCTCTAGAGGTTATTGAACCTTTGTTCAGCGGTATTTACGTAGCACAAACTCATGGAATCAAAACGGGGGAATTGCAACCATAAGCTTAATGCTTTAGGTTGATTTTGAAATAGTGTGAAAATTTCATTCAGCCCCATTTTCACCCTCTCCCTTGACGTTTTAATCTGTCTGGAACTAATCTGTTCTGATATTTTGCCTCTGTGTTCACTCCATAACGATAATACGATTAGATTTTTATAAACAAACAGACAAGCACGATGTATGTTAGTACGATAAATTAATTATCAAGTTATACGAAACATTTTTTCAATATTTACGTATGGTAACTTTTTTACGCCCATAAGGGTACATTGGCATTTGAATTGAATTTATTAGTATTGCTTTTTGAAAAAGGATCTTATTATCATGCAGAAAATGTTTGATTTCGATTGATGAAGTTACTTTCTTTTAATTTCGTCTTGTGCGTCATTAAATATGACGTCAATATGGGTAAAAATAAATGCTTCATTGCTTAAAGCTATTTCAAAATAATGGAGCTTGGAATGGAAACTCTAAACTTTGTTGTTTCTAGGCGATTGCGTCATAAGTAAGTATTGATTATGAAAAGACATTTTTAGAAGGTTTACACTTCTTTTAATGTTTGACTTGACTTATAATAATCTAAATGTTAGCTAATTTAGATTTGTAGTAAGGGAGGACAATGATACATAAGTAATTGGGTACCTATATGCCAACTAAGTAGTCAAATTCAATACTTTTTCGAAATGTCAAAAACGACAGTTGTCTATGAATATTGTGACGTCACGTTTTTTTAGCGTCAAATAGCACACCTTTTTCTTAAAAATTAGCTAGAAATATATTAAAATAAGCTGGTCATAACATCAATTAATGAAAGTGTGATTTTTTTTAAATATTTTATTGTATTGAACAGTTGAAATAATTTATTATTGATTAAGGAAAG